CCCATATCTCCCAAATTGAGGGCCTTCGGCCCGCTTTTGCCCGGGCTTCGGCCGGGTTTTATATTAATATATTATACTTTTTTAAAATTTGCTAACTCTGAACAATTATTCTGATTTTCATATTTTGTCATTTATTATATTGCATGCAAAATAAACTGACAAATAAAAAACCACAAAATGCAATAATATAATTCTTATCAACTTACATTGACAAAAGGATATCAAACTAGTATAGCTCTCTGTTACCATTTTAGACAATGTTTTATAGAATGAACTATAACAAGGAAAAATTTATAGGCTTAAACCAAATCAACAATTTTTGAAGAAGAGAGTATAAACGACCAATCCAAATCATAAAACTATATGGTGGTTAAGGCTTCCTCATAGATGACATGAAGCTATATAAGCAATCGAGAATATTATTGTGAAATATTAAATTTCTAAAAGATTATCTTCCATTTTAAATGATATATAAACGACTACACAGTTGACCATTATTGTTTATCTAAAATATGCAATTATGTGCTCTCAGCCGTATAGTAATAATCTTAAATTACATAGCAACACAAATAATAGATGCTGGTTAATTTGCAGTAATAGCCATGACACTCACGATGTAAACTAATATCAGAATTTATTATGTTGGATAAATTGATAAAATAAAAACACTAAAAATCTTTGGAAGAAATAATTATGCAAATATATTGAAGGCTGGAGTTATTTATACGGCAATGCCATATTAGAAATGAAACATTTTCTAATTATAAAATAAGGATTAGAATGATATGATGAAACAATTTTATCTTAAAATAATAGTAGTTTGTAATAATATCAAAAATATACTTGTATTAAAAATTTAACTCAAGACTGTTTTTCGAAAAGGAAAAAAATAGATTTCCTAAAACACGTAAAAAAAGAGAAGAAAAGATATCAAATTTATTACTTCTATTGCAGGATGAATAATAAAATGTTTAATTTTAAAAAATTACTTATATGGAAATAGGTGGCTTTAAATACTTGAATGCAATTTATTATTATATTTATTATCAAAACCATTTATTAGTAAAATTTATTATAATATTAACTGTAATATATTATATAACTGTCAAATACGTCTATAAAAGTGGCATTATATCTAATATTATTTAAACAATTGTATTTAGTAGAGGATTATAAACTATATGTCTACGACCTTGAAAATATTTTTAAGGATATGATAATAAAATTTAAAAAATATACAGTTGATTAGTCATTTTGAACTCGGCTAATTACAATATTAAATTTGTTAATTTTCAAATAATATATGATTATAGGGTTAAAATAATAATTTAAATAATGTCAATTAAACTTCAACTGTTAGCTAAATTAATATTTAGTGAGTTATTGATATTATATTTTTAATACAAAATTTGATTGCAAGCTGACATAGTGAAAATATATGTATTAATCCAATCTAATAATTAAAATAATATTAATTTAATAAAAATTTAAATAGTCTTATTAATTTCTAAATAATAAAATTATATCTATATATTACTTAATGGAATTATAAAAAAAATCATTCAGTGGGCAATCAAAAAAATATTTTTAGTTCAAAGGGATAAAGGAGCCATTAAAAAAAATATTTTTTGTTACAGGGGACTATTCAAATTTTTTAGGGGGCTCGAGCCCCTGCGCGCCTCCCACCCCCCCCAAGCGACGCCACTGGTATAACCAAACAAATATTTTACTTGTATTGTTACTTTTATTAATGAATATATTAAAAATTATAAAAATTAAATTTGTTAAACTGCTAAAAATCATTTGTGTAAAAAAATTGGATAAATATTTTAAAATCTCATTAAAATATTCATTTTGTCAATGTCATTTACAAATAATTTAAAGTGACCAAAAACACATGTGTCGCAATTAATTACCAATAATTTATTTTGTATTTTTTATAAACCTTAATTTAATTTTATCTTTAAAAAAAGGGTAATATCTTATAAAACATTGTATAAGCAGTCAAAGTAGTAAGGCTCAGCAAATTGTACATATACCTAATTATTATTCAATATTATAGATATGAAAATAAGTTGGATATCAATGGCCATCGGGATGAATCATATATAAATGATATTATTTTGAATATTTTTATAACGGTTTGATCATTTTTTTGAAAAATTTAAATGTTTTTTATCCAAATTTTAATTGTTATTTTTCTTAGAATTATTCTAATAGTATTTGTATAAAATTTTTTAATTGGAAATGTTTTTTTATTATTATTCTTATCGAATATGTGAATAATTCATCAATTTTTATTATTTAAAATTCACCTTCCTTTTGAATAATTTTATTTTTTAACAATATACTTTTCTTAAATCGATTATTTAAATTTTATCTTTAAAAACATTTCAAAATATTCTAAAAAAAAATTAAAACGATACAAGAAAATAATGGCCTCGACAGATATGTAAGGTTAGAAGGGGGTCCCAAACAAGGAATCAGTGTAACTTAACATTTAATAATTTGGTCTAACTTAGATAAAACGGCTCCGAGGAGTCTTCCATTTTTGCTGAGACACCCCCCTCCCCCAGTCTTGTAATAAAGGTAATAGCAGGAACACAAGCTCCGGAAATTGTTTGTTACAATTTGGATGAATGTGTATTCGATGGAGATATCAGTATATTTCATAAATTTTTCAACTAGTAACCGGTCTAATTTAAGGCTTCTTTGAATCCAATTCGAAATGGCACTTATTAAACAATTTCAAAGATGACTGGGGTGCCAATGGGTGTCAGGGCTCTTTTTGATGATAAAAATTCATAAGACGAGGATGTAGGGGAGGCAAAGGGGGATCTGGGGCGCCCTAGCAGATCTTGGGATTTATGAAATTATAATTCCTCGGGTAATCAACCGATCCAGAAATCATCAGGGCTTTGTGTTACCAACAACAGACTCTATTCAGATGTTATATTTTTACTTTTTAATATTTATACGTAACTGATTAAATTATTGTAGCCATTTAAATCAAATTATCCTACTTTGATTCTGTATTCTGGTTTTCTTGATCGCTCTTTATTTAAGTCAAAGAATCTTACTATGACTGATGATTTCAGGAGAAAATGAAAAAAATCTACCCGAATTAATATTATGTTAATGACCCACCTATCTTAAATTAGAATCATTCACAAAACAAAATAATAAAACAAATGTGGCCACTCAAATTTTTTTTAAAAAAACGTACACTAATTATTTTTAGCATATTTTGTTTTAAGATTGCCCCGAAAAATAATATTTTATTTATACAATACCAAAAAATGAATACCAGAATAGAAGTTGCACAATTTTTTTTAAAGCACTATATCATTATAGTTCAAATGTGGATCTGCATTAAGGAAGTAAGAAGAAGCTCTCATTAGGATATTCAAACTATAACCCATCTCATTATAGTTTTAAGAATTTTAAGCAATAGCTTATGTTTCTTATATAATCATAACTTCTAATTTATGTATTTTTTTTTACTATGATATATTATATCCTATGCAAACATCATTGCTAGATACTAAACTTCAAAAAAAAAGAATTGAATTTAGTTTTCATTTTCTTATGAATCGAATATTGGGAAGAAAAATTAAAATATCTAATTTAATTTTTTTTATTTAAATATTAAAATCCGCAAATTTCTTAATTGAATTTAATAGGCTTACTACTCAATATTATATATCTAAACATCTTCTTAAACATGACAAAAGTTTTAATAAGGGAAAGTTAAGCCTCGTAAAAAAACGCGTAATTTTTCTTAAGCGATACGTATAAATTAAACTATTTTAGAGTAACAAAACCTAGTATTATTTCTATAGAATTAATCTATTTCATTTGAGATAATAATCTTGAACAATTACCGTGTAATATATTATATTACTTCTCAGTTTTTACCCTTACTTAAAGTTTAATTAGTTTTTAAAAAATCAAATTTTCGAAAAATCTCCTAAATTAAAATGATAAATTCTGGCTTTTAATTTATTGATACCCTCGAATTAATTTTAAACGTTTTTTAAGGTAATAAATATAGTTTTTATTGATTAAACCATGTAAATAGTGTTTAAAAATAAATAGTTCTGTTAAAATTTATCGAAGTAGAATTAGAGTTCCATAATAGAAACCTGCAAAACCAATTTTTTCCCATCCCGAAACCCGATGGCTAAATATTTTTAGGTCCAAGTCGGTCCATGACTTTTAATTTTATGAATGGAATTAGAGAAATTTTATAACTCAACGTATAATTTTATTCTTTATCCGATAATTTAATATTTACCTTTTATTCTATTTTACTACAAATAAGATGTGAAAATAAGTATTTCGCACCTTTATTATTTATTTTAAACTTTTCTTATATTTTGCAACTCTATATCTTATAATTTAGGTATTCGATTCTGGCAAAAAATGGAAGAATAGGGAATAAATAAAAATCAATTATTTTATCGGGTCAGAGGCCAGGCCTATATTTTATCGTACCCTATAAATAATAAAATGGCGATGTATCAAAAAATTTGTAAAGAAATTATTTTCCAATTAATATTTATATTCATATCATAAACTATGACAATTATTTGTTAGATTTTGCATTAAATAATAATTTAATAAATCTTTAAGTTCAAACCGTAAAATAAAATAAATTTAAAACTGCAAAACTTGTAAATTAAGTAAAATGGTATACTTTCATATTTTTAAATATCAATTTATTCTTAAAAAAAAGCAACATTTGACTTATGGATGGAGCCTGCTAAAAATAGTTATCTTGAGAAAGTTTTATAAGGGTATTCAACATCGGAGATTTTACTGTATTCTTTTAGTTACATTAATAAAATTTATTATTATCGTTTAGCAAATATTTGAAGTTAATATTTACTAAACTATATCAACTAACATATTCATGGTGATTTACAAATATAATAAATATTTTAAAATAATTAGGCTTTTATTGTAATATTAACCTTCTCATTATAAAAAAAATAATAATTTAGTTAAACAATTTTCCCATGATTTTACATTAAACATATTGCACTTATTAACATATTTATAGTAAAAAAAAAAAAACTCTATTGTACAAGAAAAAATAAAATAACAAATCATAACCATCATGGTATTCCATATAAAATTAGAGTAATTAAATGCCACAATATTTGAACACATTGTAAAAAAACAATAATAAGATTATCTCAATGTTACAAATAGAATTTTTAAAAAATTTTGTTCATTTAAGTTTTCTAAAAAAAAATTTATTTACGCCGTGTGGGTTAGTAGTTTGGTTCCAGACCAATGTAAATGTTTTTGATGAATAGTATAATATAAATATTTTTTTGGGGCATTCAAATTCGCTCACTTGGCTAAGAAGTTATAAATATTTTCAATGGTGTCTAATCAGTCTTCTGTGACGAGTCTTGAGAGATCCCGTATTTCTTCTCCTTATAACGTAAGGATAATCTAAAGATATTATAATTATATTTCATAAATAATTTATACGAATATCCTGTATTTTTAAAATATAATCTAAAACCATAAATAAATTTCTCTAGAATCAATCATATAACATTTTAAGGAAAAATGATTAGTTGGCACTTTAGCCGGTGTAATGTAATGTGCAAAAGTGAAATCTGTGCGATTTTGAAAACTCACACCATCAAAATCACATGGCTAATAACGCGTGATATTGAAAATATCATTTTTATCACATCAAAATACATTGAGGGGGGGGGGGATTTAAATTTTCAAAATCTCACAGGTATATAATATTTTAAAATCTCATATTTTCAATTTCAACATGTTTGGCTTAAATCGTGGAAAATTTAAAACGTCAGTTTTAAAGAAACTGACAGATTTGGATTGAAAACATTATATATAATGCGAAAACTGTAATCTTGAAATCCATTTTTCTTCTTCATATATCGATATATTTAATTGTATAATGTATGCTACAATTAGGACGAATTATGTCTATACTAAGAAAGTAAACTTTATTAGAAAATGCACCAACTTCCTTCAAAATTATAGATGATAAATTATTATATACATTGGATAAAAGTAAATTTTAGATACTTTTTTATTTGAAATAAGTAAGGCATATTAAAAATTATAATTTATCCTTTGCAATGTTTTACAATCGCTGAACCAACAGGAAAATAATTATTGTCTATTTTTAAGAGTATGTATATGACTTATTTTAATGTATACTGGGTATGTTAGAATATTTGATATATTTTTATTAAAATTTGGCATGAGATCAGTTTAAATTATTATTGGGCATTATTATTTGAACCTATATATATATAAATATGAGCTCTTGTAATGAAACAAAATGTCTTTTAAAAAGCATTACAAATATTTTAAAACATAGATTAAAATTACTAAATAGTTAAGATATATATATATATATACATTAATGTTGCTATATTTTAATATTAATAATTTTAAATTCATGTCATAATTTTATTTAGATTAAATTTTTCAAAAACATAGATGGTAATTTATATCGAAATTTCATAACCCATTAAGTGTGATCTTGATATGTGGGATATCTTTATCTCAAACATCAAGATTATACGTTACATAGGTTCAGGAAGCTTTAAAAGAAGTCCTGATTTCGGTTCCTAAACACCGTAAAAGGGGTTAAAATTCTGATTTGTACTCTCCTGCAAGTTGTTTATAAATAAACATATATATATTTAAAAAGATGAATTTTGAATATATCAATACCTTTATTTTTATATCCCTCGAGGTTAGTATTTTCGTCATTTATTCCTTCTTCTTCTGTCCATTCCTTTTAATAATTCATAATATTATAAAACAAAAAATAAATTAAGAATTTTTATATCAAAAATATTAATATTTTTTTAGGCCCATAAAAATGAATAGAATTATTCTGTTACTCGTAAGAATATTTGATAGAATGCTATTTTTAAAAATAATTTAAATTTAAAAAATTTATGAAAAGCGAAGAATGTTATAAAAAAAATACATGTATCAGCGTATCAAAACCAGGCAGGTCTAGAAACGCAAGTGAATCTTTATCGACTTTCCTTAGCATCAAACCACTTTTTCGGCAAAAATCTCGTGACTGAGAAAAAACTTTTGAAGTCGAAATAAAATGGAGAGATTTTTCAAACACTAATCAAACAAAGTCAATCCTAATGACGCCAAGATTTTATTGAATAAGGTATCCGAAGCGCTAAAACAAAAACAGACTAAAGATAATCAACAAGGAATTTTTCAAGCACAAATAGTAAATGATCATGTGAAATCAGATAAAAAGCCATTTTTTTAGCATAATATCTTAAAATTGAAATTCAATTTTAATTCTTAATCCAATTAATTTTTTTCAAATGACAGGATATGACGTGGTGCAACCATTTAAAAAAAGTGAAAAAATTTTTCATTAAATAGTTTAATTTAATATCTCTATATGATTTTTAAAAAATTTCTCGTTTTTCAAAACAGAAAATGTGTGCAGAATATGGAACATGTAAAATTTCGATTCCTGTAAATCAGGTGAATATTTATATGACATCAATACTATATTTGATAGCTATGTTCGTGAATGCTATATAATACTATATATGTTTTTATCCGAATATAAATTGGCAAATGGAACAATGTTTAAAAAAAATTATTTAAGAGTTCATTTATCATTTCTATAGTGACAGTGACAGATCAAATTATAGCCATTTCAAAAATTGGATATAGAAATGAAATGTATATAATACCTTATCGAGAAAACTTTCAAAATGAAAAAGTCAATAGGATCAGTATCAGGTTATAATTGAGATATATGAAATAAAAGAAACCGAACAAAAAACATTCCTAATTATTTGCTAATCAGATGATTGCAAAATAATATAAAATAACCTACAATTTTAAACGATGGTTATTTTTTGTAAATTTTAAAGAAAAATGGGTGTCCAATCAACATCTCGGGAGGAAGGAGTATGCCCTCTGAGTCTGAGAATATTTTATAAATGATTCTTTATTTTCTATTTAATTTAAATAAATCAATATTTTTTTACCACCAATAATATATTTAATATGCGGGCAAATATACCCTATCGCTTAAGGAATGTGCAACTTGCCCAACATAATCGGTTTTGGATTTGTCCCGTGATCCGTAATTGCCATCAGCATATAGTCGCGAATTATTATCTGTTTCACTACCAGTATCCTCTTTGCTATCTTCTTCCTCGGTTTCTCCGTCACCATAATTATTACCTTCAGGACCATCATTGCTGGAACAAAATACATTCCAGAAAATGAAACAAAGTATTACCAGTGGTAGGCCGAATATAACGCAAGAGAGAATGGGTTGGGCTGAAAACATGTCCTTTTTTGTGTAGCGTAATAAAAAAAAATTTAGCAAAAAGGAGTAAATGTAGCGCGAAGGTCAAGATGCCGTATGAGAAATAAATTATTTAAAAAATAAATCTAAGTCCTGTTATTATTTTTGTGGAGTGAAAAGAATGATAAGCTTAGGATGGAATATCCTATGATGTTGGGGAACAGGGATTTTAGGGATTCTATCTGCAGTATTTGTCGAGGGATGAAACTGAACTAAACTAATTTTTCGAAAAAAATTTGAGTTCTGTTAAGATTCATACTATTTTTAAAAAAAAATTTAATGAGGAAATGTTTTTCATTTTTTTAGCCCCACCCATAAATATTTTTAAAATAATTTTTGGCCTGGCGGTTTTTTATTTTTGATCGGCCCTGATTAAATTTCGTTTTTTTGAAAAATCGTTGCTATATTTTGCAAAAATATGTTACAAAGGAAAACTGAAAATATTCATAGGCCAGATCAACAGCCGGGATCTTCAAAATCATGCCATTTTTCGTCATGTTACAAGTCTGCTACTCTCTGATATTATTTATTTTGCTTTAGTAAAGTTTGAATGAAATATTATATACCTTTAAAAAATAATTAAATCATTTCTGAACCTAAGCTATACCTATCTTGAATCAGGAGCATAGCCTGCGGGGGGGGGATTCCCTTCCCCATTGCAAATTTGCCAGTTTTCGTAAATGTCTAAAGTTAATAAAAATTTTCTCCCTACATACCCCACCCCCTCCCTCCCTCACCTAAATTATACAATATATCACTGCAAGAAAAGAATTTGAAGGAAAAATTAGTAAAAGTTAATAACTTTTTAAAATAACAACTATAAATTTAATTTTCTAAAACAAAACTATTTTTTATAAAAAACATAAGTGAAAATCCAAAAATATTTTATAAAAATATAATTTGGTCAAAGACCTACAATAAGTGAACCCAAAGACCTTTAACAAATTTATGGTGGAAAACCCCGCCAAATAATGTTCCCTTATAAAAAAAATCCTGGATATGCCTATGCCTTGAATCATACCAGGTTCACGATTTTGATCTGGTTTTTACCTCTAACTTAGCAATAAGAATAAAATGAAGTATAGCATGACTCATTCCAGACGAGCCTTTTACTGCTATGCCAAGATGTTAAAGACATGCCATCAGGACGCTTGCCATTCTCATTTAAAGGGTCTTAAGGCTCCAAAATATTGCGAAATCAAACGGAATCAGATCAACCTATTTAGATTATCGTGTGACTTTAATAGTGCCTACCAAATGGGTCTATCTGCTTTCTACGGGCAGCAGTTTTTCCTAGTCAGAATCGCATCTAGTTATTAGTATTTATTTGGAGTTTCAAAGTAGTTGGCAGTTAGTAAATAGTTTCTCAAAATGCGCATTGAAGCATTGGTATTAGGAAGCTCTTTAAAGGGTTCGAAAAGATGTGGTCGAAACCTTAAAAAACGAAAGCCAAATTAGCCAATTTATTGCCATTAACTAACTGTAATGAATGATAATCGGGTTAATGGAATAAACGTGATTTCCGATTTACTATGTTTCTTATCATTATTAAATAACATAATTCAGCCATCTTCTAGTCCATTCAAATTGCAAGCTCTCTACAATTCTAATCCAAAAACCATTCCCCCCCCCCCCAATCATTTTAGTTATAAGTTATATTTATTCATCATTTCATTTTACTTTTTGCTTATATAATCTGTTAACAAAATTTTTTTTTATCTTGGATCCCACCAGACTATCCAACAAAAGGTCTGTCTTTTAAAAAAGATCGGACCCAGTTATTGATTGTTGACCATCGCTATTGAATAATACAGGGCAATTTAGGAAAAAAAATTATTATATAATATAATGCGAAAACTAACCGTAACAGTTCGATATGTGGTAAATACGTTACGATATATCTTGAAACCGATACTATTTCCTCCGTGGGCCTAAGAAAATATTTAAAAAATAAAATATAATAAAAGGCAAAATGAAAATAAATCCTTTAAAAATGATTATGGGATTATTAAAATCTTTTTGAAGATCATAAAATTGTAGATTTTTCATAAGTATCATAATTATTTTGTAATTTCAATCATGAAAGATTTTCTTATGCAAATCACAAATAATTTTGGCATATTTTTTTGAATAGAATTTTAGTAAGATTCGATCCAAAAATCCTTTTTGAGAAAAAAAAAAGTTGATACAAAAAATCTCTTAAGATCTTATTTTTTATTTTGAAGAGAATTTCGAACTGCGTTTAAAAGTAAGTGCACTTATTTATACAGCTATATATCGTTTAATTTTCTCCCTATTTGTTCTAACAAAGTAGTAATCACGCAACTAACTTTAAACACATTAGGTTTGTAAAAATAAAAAGCGAAAACCTTTACTTTCCCCTTCAAAATGCCTTCCAAAAAATCTCGCAAAGTTAACGTCAAAATTTCCTCCCGATTTTTATTTCCCGTATCTTTCGCTCTGTCCCGAGTGTTTTCATTTTCATTTTGATTCGGTAGATTATTAAGATTTACAAGATCATAGTTATGGCGAAAAAGGAAATATTTTGTAGTAACAGAGTCGAAGACTAGTAAAGATGGGTAAGAAAGGGATGAGGCCGTAAGAGACGATATCAGATCGGTGTCACCGGTGTAACCGAACCAAAAGGTGCTTAAAGAGTTTTAAAAAAGTTTTAGCAAAAAAAATAAAATAAGGAGAAATATAAATAATTATATACCGTTGATTTACTATTTTCAGGTTCATTCAAGCATTATATTAATTTAAAAAAAAATATATATCAATTATTGTTGATATTAACCATATCATACAAAAACTAATCCTAACGCCCCCCCCCCCACTTATTTTTAATTGCATTGGGGGAGGGGTCATAGTATAATATATATCAGAGACCAGCAGGCCTGGCCCGTGTGTTTTATTATATACTCGAGCCGAGCCTAAAATTTTTTTATTTAAAATAGCCGGGCTTGGCCTAAATTAAAAAAAAAATACCCAGGGCCGTATTTTAAACGCCATTATTTGCTATAAAAATTAAAAATAAATGTAATATATCTTTAAAAAATCAAATCCGAGTCGGGTCGGGCCATGCAAATAGTACCCTCTGCAGGTCTCTGATATATATATATATTATATTTTAACTTTCTTTCTTAATATTATGGTTGTGAACCATCGCTTTAAAAAAAGAGTTCGGAACCCAGATTTAAAATCCCTGAACCAGGTCCGGGGTAAAAAAAAAAGGACTTTAAAATTTAGTCAAAATAAACAGAAACATCAGTTTTTTTTGAAAAAAAATTTACTTTATTATATTATATTTTAGTATTCATCATAAAAATAATGTTATATTTGTATTTAAAGCCAATTATGATAATATCTACCAAAAGATCATCATTGAGAGAATAAATAGTAAAAAACAATTCTTGAAACACTAAATTATTTTAAAAAGGAGGTCTGGCTTTCAGTAAAATTTTGAGGATTCCAGGTCTGCATGTCTTTGATTAATAAACTTTTTTGTATTCATTAGAATTGATAGATTTAGGGGGTGGTAAGGAAGAGTTTCATAAGACATTTGATTAAAATAAAAAATGATGATAATCGACAAGCTTAATAATATAATAGATCTCGTTTGCAATAGATAAAGATCTTTTTTCACATGAATACAAACTGTATTTATACACATTAATCTATAAATTCCAAACGTTAATAATAAAAATAATAGTTTTTTTTATACTGATCGTAAATGGGCCTAAAATTTAGAGCTAAATGTTCCAACGTGTTCGTAACGTTTTTGCAAGAGGTATCGATTTGATTATTGGAATATATCTAAAAACACAATAAATATTATACTATAAAATGGTTTGCCAACATATTTTATAACATCTATGTTATTTTTATTAGTTAGGATATACAGTGTTATGATGATTTGATGAAACATATTGAGGATTTAATTTAAACACATGCATATATAATTATAATCTTTACAAATGTACAACAAAAGAAATAATATAATTATATATGCATGTCTTTAAATTAAATCGTCAATATGTTTCATTAAATCATCACAACACTTTATTTGAAAACTAAAAAGTCGGTGGACATATAATCCGCCTATTTAATCATTGAAAATTTTGTTCGTTGACTTAATTTTCTCGCCTATAGTAAATAGTTTTTATTTTCCCTTCTAAATCTTAAATAATTTTAAAATATTATTCATGTATTACCATTTGACTTCTCATTTCAAACTTTTTACGAGTATCATCATTTTAAATTAATAATTTTAAAAATAGTGAAAAATAAATAAATAAAATTATTTATTCACTCCCCCATAATTCGTATCAAGTTTTAGAGAAAAAAAAATTTCGCGTATAAATTTTAAATCTCCAAAAAAATAAAATAAGAAGCTTCACAGATGATCCCAAGGAATTTTTATTTTTTCATCATTTTGTAATTAATGATCCTTACCCCACCATGACAGTCCATATTCCCCATTTTTTTGGTTTGACAACGCTCCTAAAATTTGTTCTATTAATACAACTCTTCTTTTATTGCCCAGTTTATCCTTTCTCCGAATTTGATATTTTCCCGCATATTCTGAATTGTCAATATTTACTCCTTTGTTATCAATAATGTATTTTTTCGGCCAAACGTATGCTCTTTAGAGGCCAGCAAAGCTATTTTTTCATAATCCGAGCTCGAATTAAATAAAATTTCAACCGACCCGAAACCAACCTAACTAAATTTTTTTAAATTTGAGTGTGAATATTATAATATCTAAAAAAACAATTAAATATTACGTGTATTACTTTAAATAAAAGTATATTTGACCGCCATAATATAATCAATATTTATATTAAGTAGCATTATACTAAAATTGAAAACATATACCTATATACCTTTTATTCAGTTTGAATATTAAAAAATTGAAATACAATCGAATTTAAAAATGATTGCGATTATATAAAAATAATGTGCATGATATAAATATATTATAGAGATATATAGATATCATTATCAATAGTATCACATAATGAATAATTGTATATATAAAAAATAAGGAATCGAGTTTGTCAGGTTTTAAACAAGTACTTCTATCTTAGAAGGCTCTACCAGCTACTGAAAGCGCGCTTCCACTGCTAGCTAGTCAGGAATTTAAGAGCCAAAGCACTCAAACTGGGAAAGTCGTTTTGACTTCCACCAATTTAAGATTTGGTAAACGAGTATAAATATTGAAAAATTTGAGTATTTAATTAAATAGATATTAGATAAATATATTTTAATTAACCTGATAGAATATGATGTGAATAAAGTATGTAATAACACAAAATTATAATAACAAAATATTTTGGTAAACGCATGTTACGAAAAATAATAATTGAAAATGACATGTTATTCTATTTGACATTATGAATTAAAATGATTATTTATCGGGTTGGACACCTCTTACAACCCGACAAGAACTCGAAAATAAAATTTTTTATGTCCGAACCCACCCCGAACTCGCGAACTCGGACAGCCTGTGCAGACCTCTAATGTTCCTGTTCCATACCTATCCAATTTCAGAATTTTCTGAATGCTTAACTTATCCCTTAACTCCATTCAAAAAGTTCCATCAGTATATACTGCAATGTTATTCTTTTGCACTGTACCAACAAAAAATAAATCGCATTCATTGTTGTATTTAGGTTGCAAAGCCAACTGCTCAATAGTTCTTCTAAACATCTTGCACATAAATCGTACAACTTTGAATGTGATATGAAAGAGCATGCGTTTGATCGAAAAAATAAACTATTGATAACAAAGGAGTTGAAAAAAAATTGAAAATTCAACATATGCGGTAAAATATCAAATTCGGAGAAAGCATAAACTGGGGAATAAAAGAACAGTTGTATTAAACATTAAGAGCATTGTCAAACCAAAAAAAAGGGGAATGGGGGAAATATGAGATGACATGGTGTTAGGATCATTAATTATAAAAAAATTAGTAAAAAGGTTTTATGGGATGAATTTGTGAAATTATTAGATTTCAATGTTAGTAAAAAAAAAATTAAATGTATAAAATACTCCTAGTGTTGAATTGATTAAAATTTTTTGCAATTTTTATAATCAACAAACACTATTTTTTATTTTATTTTTTAAATATAGTTTTCAAAAAATGTTTTAACCGAATAAATAAAATCTGTGGATGTTTACAAAGTTTGAAATTTTACTATACAATTACTAGGTAAAATGCGACATTTATAAGTATGATTATCGTAATATGAATCGGCATGCGGCATTTTGTAGATAATACGTATTAACGATTTTTTTCAGAAAATACTGTATGAAAATTTTTATCACCCCCCCCCCCCCCGTCATTTAAGATATAATTTAGTAAACTTATAATGTACATATATATTTTGTTAACATTTTCATATTTTATTTTTAAATAATCGTTTTATTCGCTGCATTTAATTTTAAAAATCAGAAAAAGAAAAATGCTTCAAATAAAACAAGGCGATTTACTTTGACGTAAGCAATGACCACGTATCTCCCGCACCATCTCGCCTCATGAATAGCATTTGAATCGATGTTAAAGAAAGATTTGAATTGTTGACATCTGATCCATTTGTAAATCGCCTTTTCAATCATTTCTCCATCTTTTCCCAGCCCTTGGTAGCCAACAACTGGCAAAGTTTCTTCCTCCAAAAGAGGTCCCGTAAATGTGTCCTTTTTTCGACCAACGATTAAGGTATCGTCGGGTTGTTCCGTCGCGGAAGCCAGAGAAATAGTAGGTAGATAGGGGTAAATTCTGTTGTCCTTGAAGGAAAAAATATCTGGAACGAACGTTGATTTAGAATTGGGGGGAGCGTCGATAAGTTTGGTGTATTCCTGTGAAAAAAATAAATAAATATTGTGTTAATATTAAAATTTCATAATTAAAAGAGCAAAAAAATTGTCTACCATTTTTCTTTTAAAAAAATAAAAATATTCTTATATTAAAATTCCCACTAGTTAATTATATTATAATTCCCTTGAATAAGGATAAAAAAAATATATATATACTTCGAGAGAGCATCTTTCTCTTTCTCTTTTTTTTTCGTTATTTCATTAATTATATTCTTTATTCCTTTCATTTCTTACAAGGTTCATATACATACTATATAACTATATATGTTTCACATTCATGTTGTGCACGTACCATTGGTAAATCCGAATGATCAATTGAATAAAAGTACGTTGAAACGTAAAGCTGTGAGGCAATAGAGTTGTAAGCATTCTAAATAAAATAATTTAAATATATATATATATGCTTTCATAATAGTAATTATCAATATACATATTTAAATAGTCTGGGAACATCGGATTTTATAATCATCCCAAAATACAATCCTTGTAGGAAGTTCAGCACTTGCTCATTAATAAATATATCAGTATTGCCCAAAAAAATTTGTATAGACGCACTTCTGATTATGATTGATATTTAAAACATACGAGAATGAAGGTGATAAGGTTTTTGATAAGAGAGAGTTGGGAAAGCGTTAATGGAGTAAAAAAAAGTAACGAAAGCATTATCATTTGAAATTGATTGACAGTCTTATACATTTTGATTGCCAGCAGATATTGCTCCATAGCCAAGGTGGGGTCCTCCGTAAAAAAAAACTTCGTCCTTGAAACTTGGTTTCCAAAATTGTTTCTAATGTAAATAACAAAAAATATTGGCCCCAAATAAACTTTTACCCCTCCCCCCTCAGCTGAAGTTTCTTAGCTACGGGCCTGAGTGAAAGGATCTTAAGCAGATTAGAAATGAAATATGGTAAATCAAAGGAGGAAAATTTGAGTGTGAGTCAAACTAGGAGATTAAGCATTTGGAAAGGCATTAAAATCAAGAAAGTTATAAAAAAAGAAGAGAATAAAAAAGGTGAATGGATAAGATGCAGTTTGGATTCAAGACAAGGACTAGTCATGGACATTTTGAGTAAAGATTTTATATGTTAAAAATGATATAGTTAAAGAAATAGATAATAATTGCAAAAAAAAAATAAGTAACGGAAAATAGTTTTATAATAAACGATCAAGTTCTTAAAAAAATTATAAATTATCAAAAGCAATAAATATATATATAAATAAAAACAGTCTTACCAAGTTATTAAATATATAAATAAGGTTTTACAAAAAGAGGGTTCAAGTGAATGTGCAATACCACTGAGTGAGAGTCAGGCAAGCAAGAATTGCGAAGGATTATTGGCAGAGGTGGTTTAAAAATGATATATAAAAGACTATGATGATCCGAGTCAGCCCAGACTAAAAATTGGGAAAAATATATTTTTTTCTTCTAAATTTAGGGTGCGAGGAGTTTTAAAATGGGGGAGAGAAATAAATCCAGGCTAAAACTAAAATTTTAACCTAGGCAGGTTTTGAAGATAGTGTTATTAAACCGGCTCAATTTGAGAAGATTTTTAAAAACGGCTAACTCAATATTTCAGCCAGAAATATGTTGCTCAAGTCTAGAGATTTCGGTAATAGATGTCCAAGCCTTTGTGTCATCTATAAGCAAAATCTAAAAGATTGCATAATATTTTTCTAGTTAAAATATTGAGTTAGTCGTTTTATAAAAAACGAATCAAATCGTGCAGTTTAACGACACTACTTAGAAAACATATTGATTTTTATTTCTTTAGCGTCGTTTTTTTTAAATAGTGTGCCGCCATCTCAATTTAGATCGCTTTTTAGGAGATCTAATGGGATTCGGATATAATTTTATGTAGAAACTTGTATTATAATAATAGACATCCTAACTCTTATATTTTGGAGATATCAAGGGTCAAAGTATAGAAAATGAACTATTTTTTTACGATTATCGATTTTCATTCCATTAAAGTTACTAAAAACTACAGAATTATAAATAATTATTCTAATATTAAAATAAAAGTGTAAACATTCTATTTTTTTCAAAATATTTTTAGTAGCCGTTCATTTAAACCCTATTTTAAGTGGGTTTAAAATCTTTGAGTTTTTTCTATTTTTACATAATTTTAAGTAAATATCACAGAGACCAATGATAAAAATTGACCAAAACACTATAAAAAAAACAAAGAATATTTTTTTTATTAGCATAATAAGCAATTAATTGTAAAGATTTTACGTCATATATTTATGCAATATAATCTTTATTGGTAAGAAAAATTAAAGAACAGCAAATTATTGTTGTGAATGTTAGAATTTGCATAAAGATTTCTTTTGGATTTTGTTGTACTTTATGTAATTTGCATAAAGAATTTTTGTGGATTTATTGTTATAACGCGTGATAAAAAGATTATATTTGAATAGTTATGATTAGTTATAAGAAGATTGAAAAGAGTATAAAAAGGCAAATTTTTACGATATAAAAAATCTTTGTTTTTTTTAAATTATTAATTTTTTTAATTATATTTTATTTTATTTTATTTTATTTTTTTATGATTTTTACTATTATAATTTTGAATAAAGAATTAAAGTTGATTTTATGATTTCGTGATTCCTAATTATTATTAATTTCCTTTTATATATATATATTTGTTTTCTATTTTTATATTTAGGTTTTGATGCACAATGTCAAACTTGTCGCTGTGACAATAAGAAGATTGAAAAGAGTATAAAAAGGTTTTGATGCACAATGGCAAACGTTGTCGTTGTGACAGTGGTGTTGGAGAGCGGAGGAGACCGGCCCTTTACAACCTTCAGTCTGTGACCGGTGGGACAACAAGGAGATGTGTCAAACTGTATTCTAATACAAAAAAAAAAATTCCAGAAGAACGTAAGAAAAATATGTAAATAAAGATGAAAAGGAAAAATTATGTTGTTAAGATTATGTTTATGTAGGAATATAAAATCTAAAATTAAAGACAAAGGTAACATTCATAGTAGATAGAGATAATTGTGTTTAGTTATTTAAAGGTGATAATTAGGAATTTTATATTTAGAAGTTACTGGTAAACTAAAAACCAATGGAATTTTGAAACTAATAAAGACTTTTTAGATTTTAGAATTATTATCAAGTGATCAATAGAAATAACTTTGACAAAAAAATAGAAACATAAATTGCGAAAGTTAATATTTAACCAATAGGTTGCTGAGATATAATAATTAAAAAATTCGGTGAATAAGATTAGAATATAACTTTATTGTTAGGAAATAGTTGATTAAATTATTATTGAAGATTTACGTTTAACTTTTATTTTAAGGGCTGCGAGAGATAAAAGAGCCTCAAGGATTAATGTGAATTAGTATATTAGGTTGTAGATTAACCAAAAAATCTTCATAGAGAGAATCGGCTTTTCGTCATTAGAAAATTTATGCCGCAATCGAGCTCAATTTGAGATCGGATTTTTATTTTGAATCATGAATAAGATTTAAGAAGAATCATACAATATTATTCTAATAATACAAAAGGAAAAACATGCTTTAGAAATATACATATCAGTTTTCAACAACGGTTGTGCGAAAAATTATAATGATTAGATTTCATAAGTTCTTCAAAGACGTGGGGTGAAAACCATAGTGATTAGAATTAAGAGGTTGTTCATAAACGTAAGTATGAAAACTTTTATGAAAGGTCATTGATTTCTCAACAACGTATGTATGAAAAGAGATTTATATATGTCAGCAGTTTTTTTTAAAGACTGAGTGTCAAAGAGTACATGAGGAAATAAATACACAATGATAATTTTTTTAAAGAGATAGGTTTTGATATATATTTGAGAATAGGATTTTTAGATATAAATTTAGTATAGACATGGCTGAAAAGAAGATGGGATCAATAGCTAAAGGATGAGTACAAGTAAATTTTTCAATGAAAATATGGGTCTAGGCTTCATTAAGGGGAGAGGGGTGATAGAATTTGATATATTTATATAATTTATTATATTTTGCTACGTATTATAAATTTAAGATTTAGTATAATTTACGCCATTTATTAAAGGCAGAATTAGTTTAGAGGGGATAGATGTAGACATTAGGATAAGGTTGGTATAATTATATATTTTATTAGTATATTTGTATTAGGTAGTTTATATTTGAGAATAAATATAAGAAAGTGATAAAATATTTCAGAAGTTATTTAAATAGATTATTTTAGGTAGAAGTAGATTAGATGTGATTACCCGATATCTCAGCAAGGGCAAACTGTCGTAGAAGACCCGAAGGTCTGAAAGATAGATACGATTACAAGAAATAGAGGCAACAACCAAGCAATTACAAGAGAAAGGTGGAAAACAAGCGTTTATCAAGTTCGTCAGTGGCCTACAAAGATAAAAAGCTGATCATTTCCCAGGGTGACAAGCGACAGATAGAGTTCAAAAATTTCAAGCGACAAAGCCTTCGTTAGAACTTAGAAGACAGCAAAAATTAAGAAGAATAAGTCGAGATCGAAAGAAGATTGATCATTCGCAGAATGTTGGGTCTAATTTAAGTAGGGAGGTGTTGTGATGTTAGAATTTGCATAAAGATTTCTTTTGGATTTTGTTGTACTTTATGTAATTTGCATAAAGAATTTTTGTGGATTTATTGTTATAACGCGTGATAAAAAGATTATATTTGAATAGTTATGATTAGTTATAAGAAGATTGAAAAGAGTATAAAAAGGCAAATTTTTACGATATAAAAAATCTTTGTTTTTTTAAATTATTAATTTTTTTAATTATATTTTATTTTATTTTTTTATGATTTTTACTATTATAATTTTGAATAAAGAATTAAAGTTGATTTTATGATTTCGTGATTCCTAATTATTATTAATTTCCTTTTATATATATATATTTGTTTTCTATTTTTATATTTAGGTTTTGATGCACAATGAAAAACTTGTCGTTGTGACAATTATTACCATCCAAAAATATTTTTTAAACCATCCAACCTGAGATTTTTTTGGTAAAATTTAAAATTTTGCAATAATATAAAAATATCATAGGAACAATGAATTACCTATGCTATATATTGAACAAAAAAAACGATTTTGGTGCTTAAAATTTCGTAAAAAGTGGAGAAATTCATTATTATTTAAAAAGGAATTTAAACTTCAGAATGAGGTAAAACAGATCCACATTAATAAAAATAATATTTAAAAAAAATGGAATGTATACACTTTATTTTGATATTAAAATGAATTAAACAACAATACATTTATTTAAAGTAAATTTATAATTTGAAGGACAATCGGATAAGGGTAAGAATGGCATTTTTTCCTACTTTGACCCTTGATATCTGCAAAAATATAAGAGCTACATTGGGCTAGTCGCGTATACTTTAAATTTGTATACAAAGTTACACCCATATCCCAAGGGTGTTTGGAGAATTGTGATCTTTTTGACAAAGAATGACCCTACTAATTAGATTTATGTCACTACAAAAATGGCCAGAGTATGGCGGAAAATAGGGGAAGTCAATATACAATTTTATTAAACATTAAACAAATATTCAATGAGATAAATTATAATGCACACTAACTTCAATTTCTTTGTTTTTCTCATTTTTCGATTTATGGACAAACATAAAAAATACTCCATTAGAATGAATCGCCAAAACGTCCAAAAACTGTTGAGGATTAGACAATTGTCTAACATAAGGCCCTTTAACTTTATCAGCGAACACCAAAAACTCGGCTACATTTCTACTCCCATCATATACGTGTGGTTTACCATTAGAAAAGCTAGATTTTTAAATTTAAAAAAAAACTAATATTTATATTTGAAAAATATTTAAAAAAACATGTATTTTTGGATTAAACATTTATACCCGGTATTTCGCCCATTTAAAAAAAATGGATGAATAGGGATTGTCGCTAAAGAGAATTTGCCAAAAAACAGCTGCTATATTAGGTTTTTTTAAACATACACTACATCCGGCTTTATTAGAAGTAACATTAAATACATATAAATTTTTCGGTTAAAATATTTTTAAAGTGATACTTCGAAGTATATATAATTAACGTTAACAAATAACTGCACTATTGATATTCATTGAACTATTCGTAACGAATAAATAAAACCGTTATTTTTATCCTATTCAAATTCAAAAATTAATCTATAAAAATTAATTCAAAGTTATAATAATGCATTTTAAATGGTATCGTGTAAAAAAAATTCGTTAAATTACCGTTTGGCGCTAGGAATCATTTTTTCTAAAAAAAAGGAAACTGATTTTACTTTTTCATTCATTCACTTGACACATTGGTCTTCGGTTAATGATGCTTACTACCAAAGGCAGTACCTAGCGAATCGTGATTTTACAATTTCTATTTGATACATACTATCAAATATCAAAATTTATTAAAATGTAATAAGAACCTTATTATTTAAGAAATATTATAACGGAATCACGTGGTCGAGTCCGGCCTCCTATATCATCCCCCCCCCCAAGGACTGAACCACCAAGTTAGATTAAGAAAAAAAATATGATCATTGCTGGGATTCGAATAACCATCGGATTGGTAAGCAACGCTCTTGCCGACTAGGCCACAGATTTCCAAAAATCACGATTTTTAAATATATATTACAAATATATTTGGCAATCTATCCAAATGAAAAATAAACAAAATACAAATTTGATAGGTAATACCTTAAGGTAGTAAGCATCATTAACCTCGGTCTTCTAGGCCTTTTTCCTGCAAGAAAGCCGAAAAAACCTTGTTACCCAGATAAACATGATTAGGTGGAGGGCCAAAATCCCTTCCCTCTTTATTTAATTATATGTAAATCAAATTTTAATATTATTTAAAATGGAATATTTCTAAATTAATGATATAAAAATGGCAGACGATATATTATTTTTTTATAACTTAATTAAATGTTTGAATTGACGACAGGCAACCTCCATTTAAACAAGGGATGCGGTTAAGTTATCATTTATTTAAAAAAAAGTATACCATAACGCAAAATGCTCAATTTGTAAGCACCATTACATATTATTAAATTTAAAAATAAATGATTAAAGATTTGGAAGTAAAAGTTTATAAAAAGAGAAGAAGTTTCATATAAAACATGTTTGAATATTCAATACTAATAAATAATTATTTTATTTTGTTAGTGTCAAAGAACCCCGCAAATTAAATTTTTCCCGACCCGAACTTTTATCGCCGAAAATTTCTTTAAAGCCTGAGCACAGCCCGAAATATTTTTAAGGCCCTTGCATGGCTTAGGGACTAATTACAAGACTCCATTGTTATTGGTATTTTAGTTTCGAATCGAAAAATTAATTTTTTTAATAGAAAATAGAATACTGTCAAATTTTGGGGTAATGATGTATAGCGTTGAACGTTATTGATTTTTTTTATCTGCTTTATTAAAATATTAGATAGCCTCGTAGTTTTAAAAAATAGTTGTTTTTGGGTAGCGTTTGTGGTCTAGTCGATGAGTGCGTGTATCACTAATCCAATAGTTCTAAGTTCGAAGTCAGAAGGGACTTTTTTTAGGTGTTTCCGTGTTACGGGGGATAATATATAAAATGTCGGAGAGGACATCTTGATTCCGTTGATATATATATCAGACCTGCAAGAGGAAACATTTGCAAGGCCCGGCCCGGATTTTTTAAAAATATATTATATTTATTTTTAATTTTATAACTAATGACAATTTAAAATATAAGACCCAGACCGGGTATTCAAAAAAAATTTTTTTTAGGCCCAACCCATGTATATTTAGAAAAATTTAAATAGGTTATTTCCGTAAAATTTGTTCGTTATTTAGCAAATTATATGATGACCGATGCTATATATCACCGGTTAATTTGTTAAGGCCTTACTTTGCATAAGGAAGTCACTTCTACTAATCTAGAAGAATTATATGAAAATGAAAGATATGAACATACAAAATACAACAGATGAAAATGAAAACTCTTCAGAAACAAAATGCAAATCATCATGGAAAGTATTTTTATGATATAATATTATTATGGCCTAAAACTATTCCTATTTTAAATGATTATTTTTCAAGATCATTGATTAAAAAAAATCACTCAAGTAACTTTCCAAAAATGATATATAATAATTTTATTTAATATATATCATTTTTGGAGAAGTCAACTCAGGTGTGATGTTAAGTGTCCTTTAATATCTTCGAGTTCCTAAATTTTATAATACTTCATAAATATCCGATATTAAAGGAAATATTTCTGAAATTTAATACAACATTACCATCTCTTCTGTTCAGAAAAAAATATTATTACCCTTTGAAAGGTGGTCAGTATTAAAGGGACTAATTCTCATTTTTAAATTTTGTCGTATTTTTTATGATTATTAATTTATTATTGATACATATATATATATGTTAGCGGCAATGTGTTACTCTTTCAACATTAAATTATTTTAATTTAAAAATATGATTTTACTAGAAATGTCTTACATCATGTTTGGAATACATACCCTATGAATTTCAGACAATTTTGCTATGAATTTTTCAACTTAATACAATATATATTAGTTTATATTTTTTATATAAATTATAAATTAAGAATATTTAAAAGTATAGTTGCAGTAAGAATATACACTTCAAATCAAGTTTTTATTCACTTTATTAATTGATAAAAATCATCACAAATTGAAAAATCCAATAATCATAATATAGTAAAAAAATATATTGACGTTTAACAATTAAATGTGAATACATGCTTACATACTAGGACATGTCACCCCTTTATAGGCCAGTGACATTCCCTACACAAAAAAAAATATAGATTAATATTCAAAAAATTTTTTTAAACAAAATCCAAAAGAAACGTATTATTCTACATATTCAATAACCTAACATCGGATAACAATTCCTCCCAAATAATTCTCATCCGAATCAGTCCTCGTCAGCGGTTTGGGCTCCGATATCATGGGCTGTATTTGGCACATCACGCTGGCCGATCTGTGCTGTTCCATGACCGTTCTGATACTGATGGCGTCCGTCCTGTCGATGTTTGCATCCTTGTCCGTCGACCTTTGTGACAGCGACACCGGTTGCAGATTCGCCTTTCTGGGCCCTCCTAGCGCATTATTCACTAATTCCCTAGCCAGTCTTTTTGTCATTCCTTTCTGGGTAATGCGGGTATTATAATCTTGTTCCATCAACGGTCCAAAATTCTTTTTGTTCAAAGCCAGACATTGATCTCTTAAATGGGTCTCCGACTGACAGTTAAAACATCTTTTCTTTCTAATAAGAGAACTGCCCGACGTCGAAGGAGCCTCCGTTTGGTGAACGTCCCTCCCTAATGCTGTTGAACTCCATGACTTTTGGAATTAGGGTAATCTGCAAGTAATGCTCTTGCAAATGAATTAACTTTGACTGCGAGTGCATATTTTTAAAAAAACTTTTTCTTTTACAAAAACAAAATTTTAAACAAATTTTATCTTTTTCCTTTACACAAAAAAAAATTTTTAACAAATTTATATCTATTTTTCTTTCCTTTGTTTCACAATTTTTAAAAATTTTTTAACCAAATATCTATTTATTTATTTTCCTAAACTTACAACCATATCAACATCAAAGTGAACCTCGTCCGTAATCATAAACAAAAATATAACTTTCTTTTTCTTCTCCTAGTGACCATTCATCACAAAATTTTTTTTTACTTTTTCTTTTCTTTCCTTACAAAAAAAAACAACTGCCCGGTGTATAACATAATTAATCATAAATGATTCCCTCGTTATACCATTTAATTTATCACTATACTCCTATCGCTCTACAATGAGGATACTCGAGTATATAAAACAATCAATAAACTAATAAAATACTTTCCTTCGACGGCCTTTATTACCATCTTTCCCGAAAGCATAAATTACCGAAACACACCCAATTGTTCGGTACTCAATTAATTTATTAATTTAAGTAATCTTGTTTTGTACTCCACTAATTTTATCTATTTATGTAATTACTTAAATAACCAAAGGAACCTCCTTCCTCAAAGGAGGAACACAAAAAAAAAAAAATTTTCCCAATTTAATAACCTCGAGACCCAATTCTAATCTCATATAATTATAAGATGTTGAGCTCTCCCTCTGAAATATAAAATTTCCTTTATTTTCCAGACTTTTCAATGTTTTAATTAGGCACCCTTTAATGATAATATTCCATTACATTAAAATATATCCCATTAGCACTTAATCATAAATAGTGGGACACCAAATGGAGGCTGCTTCGACGTCGAGCAATTCTCTTATTAGAAAGAAGTTTTAACTGTCAGTCGGAGACCCAGTTAAGACCAGCTTTGAATAAAAAGAACTTTGGACCGTTGATGGAACAAGATTATAATACCTGCATTACCCAGAAAGTAATGACAAAAAGACTGGCTAGGGAATTCGTGAATAATACGCTAGGAGGGCCCAATAAGGCGAATCTGCAACCGACGAACAAGGATGCAAACATCGACAGAACGGCCGCCATCAATATCAGAACGGTCATGGAACAGAACAGGGCGGCCAGCGTGGTGTGCCAGATACAGCCCATGATATCGGAGCCAAACCGCTGATGAGAACTGATTCGGATGAGAATCTTTGAAGGAATTGTTATTGATGTAACCCTGATGTTAGGTTATTAAATATGTTGAATAATATGTTTCTTTTTAGATTTTGTTTAAAAATTTTTTTTGTATATTAATCTATATTTTTTTTTGTGTAGGGAATGTCATTGGCTCATAAAGGGGTGACATGTCCTAGTATGTTATGCATTAAAAGCATGTATTCAAATTTAATTTTGTTAAACGTCAATCAGATGTATTGTATAAATCTGATTGGTGGAAAATTATTATATTATATGAAAAGGAAAAAATGATGATTATATAATGTATATTTTTTTGATGTATTTTGATTATTAAAGTTTTGAAATATTTTAAAAAAAGATTCTTTTATAAATTAATAAATTACGGAAAAAATATGATATTTTTTTTACTATATTATGATTATTGGATTTTTCAATTTGTGATGATTTTTATCAATTAATAAAGTGAATAAAAACTTGATTTGAAGTGTATATATTCTTTCTACAATCTATATTACGATTAAATATTCTTTCTACAATCTATATTACGATACGTTTAAACTCAAAGGTTAAAGGCAAAATTGTCTACAATTCAAAGATAGGTATTCTAAACATGCTATTTTAAAATTTAAAAAAAGGTGCTTAAAATATGATTTAAAGTTGAAAAAATAACACATTGCAGCTAATATATACATTGCAGAGTTGTTAAAGTAGCGCGCTAACTTTTTGGTAGCTATAGCTAATAGCGGCTACTTTTTTTGTAATTATTTAATTTTTTAGCGCGCTACTTTTTTTGAAAGTAGCTAAGTAGCCGCTACTTCACTACTTTTAAAAAATATAATGAAGGTAAGTGTAAACATAAAAATTTAAATATAATATAATTAATTATAATTTTTATGATTTATTATTTAATTTTGAAATTAAAATATAATTTCAATTTGTAATTTATATTTTCATTTGTATTATAAACCAAAATCACGTGTTAATAATTTAAAATGTCATTGCCTATGGATATCCAAATCGTTGAAAGTGATTCAGACAATGATATTAATGAAATGGAAGATACCAGGGAAGAAAATGTTCTTAATAGCTATAATACAAATTTCCCATTCATTAGATTTGAAAATTTTTTAAAATAAATGTATAACCAAAACTGGTTTCAAATTTATTTGTTTAAAATGTAAAAAAAATATTTCCTCAAATCAATCCAATAGCTATAACCTCAAGAAACACCTAAAGGTAAATTGTCATTTTTACATTCTAATAATATTTATTTTATAAGACTGTTTATGAGTTTTAAGGAAATCGAGAAACATCTAAATAATTTTGGTATAGGCGACTCTACATCCAAAAAGACTAATTCAATTCAAACCAAATTAATTAATAATGCAAATGACAATATTTCTCAGAAATTGGCTGATAAAGTTATTGTTGATTTTATAATTTATACAGTTTAGCCAATGTCCTTAGTTGATAGTCCATCATTTACCATAATTAAAACTCTATCCCCTGGTACAACAATTTTATGCCGCCAGACACTAATAAATAAAATAGCAGATAACTTTAAAATGATGAAAGTGCTCTAATAGTAGAGTTATCAGAGATATCATATATATGTACCACGGGAGATAGTTGAACACATAACAGTAGGTAAAAACTTATTTATATTTATAAATTGATCTGATTAAATATTTTTGAGCTTATTTGGGAATCACAGGCCATTGGCTAGACCTTAGAACTTTAAAAAGAAGATCTGTGGCATTAGCCCTCAAAATGATAATAAAATGCCAGAAATACAATGTACTTGCTAATAAAATTATTGATAATCTATCTTATATTAAAAATATGTATATAAGATTAAATATGCCTTTACCCTCATGTGCTAGTGTTGAGAGATTATTTAATAAGGCAAAACTTATACTTTCTGATCGTTGCTCTAGACTTGGGGATGATAATATTGAAATAATTTTATTACTAAAATGCAACAAATTACCATAAATATTTATTTTTATTTATAATCAAAACTAACTATATTTTAATATTTATATAAATGTTGATTTTTATATATTTACTATACAATAACATTATAAAAAAAAATAAAAATTTGTTTCTAAATTTTTTTATAAAGCTACTTTTAGTAGCTAGCGAGCTACTTTTTTTGACAAATAGCGATAGCGGTTGCATGCTACTTTTTTTAACAAATAGCAGTAGCGCGCTATTTTTAAAAGTAGCGTTTAACAACTCTGATACATTGGTATAAATAAATTATTTTATAATATTTATTAACACACCTCAATCATATTTGTTTTTGTAATTAAGTAATTTTATGTAGCTTGAAATTATTTTAGCTTAACACATTATATTTTGTGAACAATTTTAAAATGTAGCTTAAGGCATGTAATGAATAACATTTGTATGAAAATATTTTGTAGCTTAACAAAAAAGTTTCCAGAATATTTTTCCCAGACAATTTGCATAATAATCTAATATAATAATCTAATTCATTTTAAACTATACATTCATGCACATATCGAAATTTATAGCCATTTTGATAATAGCTAAAAAAAATTATTTATATAAGAATGTAGGGTTGTAAAACCCATATTTCATATTTATTCTTTAATATTAAACCACACCAAACCTAGAAAAAAAATTTCTTAAACTATTTTTGCAGTGAATCAAATCTGGTTAAATATTTTAGTGGAATTATAAGCCTTAGAAATTTACTATTAGGTAAAATAAATAGAAAAGAAAGATAAGAATGAGGGTTAAGATTATGAGCCAATTAAAGTTTTCAAGTGGTTTCAGTTTGGGTGTCATTCAGAGCACAGAGTCAAACCAATAGTTATAACAATTCCATTCCAATTTTTAGTTCAAAATATGGTTTAGTTCCATTTCAGTTATTTTGTTTGCATATTTATATTGGTTCATTACCCTGGTTTAGGGAAATATATCTTTGAATCTGAGTTCAGGATTCACAAACCTAAATAAATGCATTTTTAAAGAATAAATATTATAACCCTCAGAAGATAGGATTCATAATATTTAAAAAAAAATTATTTTAATTCTTATTTATTATATTGTGACTAGTCCTTAAAAATACAAATATAATAACATATTCATATTTAATTTGTAAATTTGGATAAAATAGTTTAGTATTCATATGAATTAAATAGTTATTCATATTCATATGAATCAAATAATTTTGAATGTTTTGTACAAATTAAATATTTGTATTATTTATATTCTATATATAAATTAAAAAAATCAATACAGCAAGTGCTGGTTGGTTTGATCATTTTTATTTTGGAATTGTATGAAATACAGGGTTAATAAATTTTTATAATTTTATTATAATTGAGTAGATAGTAAATACCAGATAAGGTATCAATTTAATTATAACTAAGGTGATAGTGAATATAAGCTTGTGAAATATTACTTACAATATAATTGTAGGAAAGCCATTAATTTTAAATTTATTTGCTAGATATCTGTGTTTTGTGGCATCAATTTTAGCAACTTTAATAGGGGTATGATATAATATATCAGCAACTTTACTCCATAATGGTTCCAAATGTTGACAATGATTGCACCATGGGGCATAAAACTTAATTAGAATAACATTTTATAAAATAGGACTTGATTTACCATAACATACCAGTAACCATCTTTGTATAAATCCTCAAATCTAGGTATATAATTAATCAAAAAGCGGGTATAATATTAATTACTTATCCCCTATTTCAGGAACTAATTGTAAAGTGCATTCTAGATGTAAGTATTATCAATATTAATATATAAAGGTAAGAAAGTAGTAGTACTTGCTAAAACATTGAGATACAAAATTTTTAAATATAAATTCATATCATTTTTATTAGGCGCTTAATATAGAATAATAATTTTCGAAAGAAATCCGTACGATCGGTCGGGAATTAGCTAGACTTAGTAATCTGATTTGGCGATAAAAATAATTAGGCATAGGGTAAAAAAAACTGGTTTAATAATTATGTAAAGATTTTTGATATATTTTAAGGGAATAAATTTTAACTTAAAAGCAAAATAAATTGTTTTTTTTTTATATTTACCAATAAGTAACATTACAGCGGAATTCATGAGGAAAGTTTTGAATATTATTAATTGAACAATAAAAAATTAAAACGTTATTTGAATACATAATATGTAGATATTATAATTTATAATTATTTAAACAAATATTATTATCATACCTTACAGTTTCCTTTTCTAAAAAAATAAATTTCATATCTGAAAATGAAGAGAATAGAATATTATCCTTTCAGAAAAATTACATTTCAAGTTTTCTCTATTCCAAAAAATTTTTAAAATAATATCACAATTTTATTTATTATATTTTAATATTTCCTTTGCCTAGTTATTTCCTTTCCTTGTTTCAATTTTATCTTATTTTTTTTATACAGACCCTATTGTTTTATTTCAAATACATTCAATAAAGGCATATGCATAGAAATAGAAAGATTATTTTTAATTTTCTCATAGAATTGCAAAACAAGCATTTTAAAAGCTAACCTTTACAAATTGTAATAGCTCGAAATTTATTTTTATTTATAAGTTTTATCGTATGTAAAATTATAAGCAGTTTTATGTGCATAAAACTATAACATCCATAGTTATCTATGTGGAGTGCAGAAATGAACAGGTTACCTCCTCATCATATTGCATGGAATGCCAATATTAACTATCTAGTAGCATCCATAGGGGAAGGGTCAAAGTTCTCTTTAAATTCTATAAATTTCCTCTCAATACATATGAAAGCTATAAATATGACACATCAATCAATAAAAATTGATCGATTTGATGATACTTGATGACATATGCATGGAGAAATACCGCAGAGTAGAATTAGTCGTAAAAGGGATGTGTTTTAAGAAATGTTTAGATGAACGTCCAAATCTCTCCTTTTAAATTTACATAATTAAACTATTTTGTGATCATCAACTTGTTTTACATAAAGATTTTCGAAAAATCAATATATTATAACTGATTAATATTTCCATCCTATATGTTTTGATGAAATTAATGAGGAACGTATAACTACAGAGATCTCCTCGTTAATAGTGATAAGCTGCGAGAAAAACTAATTTTTTAGAATTTACAACAATCCACCTATTGGATTGAAGAAGAGTATAGACGATTTGATTCATAACAAGTTATATATAGTATGCTAAACGAATATATTCTCATTTTACTTTTTCACAAGTGAGCTGCTAACGAATTTTCAGTAAATTAAAAATAGAGCGAGCAAATATTGAGCAGGATTAGCTAGAAACATTTTTAATGATGTCAGTAGAAAGAAACACCTTATAAGAAATTGAATTAAGTGAGATTCTTGATTATTTAAGCAAATATTCACCATTAATACGAAAATTATTAAGTCAACCCTCGAGGATATTAAAACTTAGGCACAACAACAGCAAATTCATTTCTTTCCAACTGTTTAAACCTGATTTAGAAATAAACTTTTAATAGCTTTTATAGTATTAATTATTGAATCAAGCTCACTATTAACACTGAGCACTCCATTGCATTAATAACTATATACTTATTTACATCTTATTTAAAAATATTGTATTATATTTTTATATTAATATATTTCTTTTTTTCATTAATAACTATATACTTATTTACATCTTATTTAAAAATATTGTATTATATTTTTATATTAATTTATTACTTTTTTTATTTAATATTATAAAAATATACCAATGCTTCTATTTAATTCTTATATTTTTTTGGTTATATTAACCTATTTCTTTTTTATAATCTCCTTTAGAGTTATAAAATCTCTGATTCCCCACCATTTATTATTCCCGTTATTTGCGGGTAGCCTTCCCTTTCTATACAAAAATAAAATAAAGAAAAAAAAATTTAAAACAGAAAAAATGAATCCCAATATATAAAAAAAAATATGGGAAGATTATTTTAAATCATTTATTTATCAAAGGCGGTTAAATGAATTAAATAATATGTATAATAATTATGAACACAAAGTTTATGAATTAACTTGAAGAATGATGTACTCATACTCAACGAACGAGCAATTCTTTTAAATGGATCATTAAAAAGATAAGAATTTTTTTAAAGGGGAGGGGGTAAAGCTACCCATGTAGACCCGCAAAGAGTGTTTGGGGGCTTCAATCCCCCCTCCCCCAATTATAGGACCTCTTTTAGAAATTTCCCATATGACCCTTAATCTCCCAGTCAGCCCATGTTTGGTTGTATGGAGATTTAAATATAAAATTAAATATTTATAGAATTATATATATCGGTGACAAATTCTAAACGTATGTATATTACTTAGATATTATTTTCAAGAAAAATAAAAGTCATCATTGTTGTGCTGGAGAGCCTTATTTTATTTTATATACCTGGCGAATGTAACTTTGAATGAGAATTTGGCACAGATTATAAATCTAGTTTTAATGGTGTAATATTATTTTAATAATTTCCCTTTTTCAAAAATTTGTACTAATATGAAATATTCTCCCAAACTCATGGAAATAATTCTTTCATTCAATTCAAAATGATAGACATGCACTCTTGTGACGGTTATGATACGCGGTGATTTACTAGAATAATATCACCGAAATTTTATAAGCAAATAATTATGAAATGAAACATAAAACTTTTTCTTGAAATTTAAAACACATTTCTCAATGAGGTAGCTAAAGAGATTTATCATACCAAATAAGGCTATATAAAATTTTTTATTATCGACATAATTTATAAATTTTCGAATAACAATCGGTCTCCTGGCCCAGACGTTACAATATCTGTTAATCTAATAAAATTGACTAATTAGACTCAATATATAGGTAAGCCCTGAAGAAAATTTGCTAAGACTTGCTTTAGTGTTGAGTTATATATTTGAAAATGACTGAGCCGGAGGTTATGGTTTTTGTCTAAATTGACTAAAACCCATATTTAGCCCGCCTGAAAGGCTAAATACAGAGGGATTACCCAACCTTATTATATTTAAAATAATAATAACAATTTTAGAGTGTATATATTTTAAAGGCCCAAATTCAATGTTCGTCATTACATCTTAAAATCATTAAATATTAAATAGAAATTACTTATCAAAATACTAGATGTAATATATAAGATAAAGGTTTGACAAGCTGTGTTTGGAAATTAATCAATTTTAAAGGCAAAAAAAAACATTTTTAAGGAGTAAGTTATATTTATTTTTTTTCAATTAACAAAATATGATTGAATTTTTCAAGTTTTGAACACATCCTTAAAATTATTTTTTTTTTAGCCCATATAGATATTTTTTTTAATAATTCTGCGCCTCTGATAAGTAGACAATTAACTTCAAAAAAAAACGTATGAACATATACACAGCTCAAAAACGATGGGTAATGGAAAAAAAGTGTATGAGTGTTAAAATGCGTGAAAAATATGGTGTCGAAATAAGTAAAGAAATTGTATGACTGCCCATTTAAAATCTAGTTTAAATTGTGCTATCGCATCTAGCATGAGTGAGACTGGAATCTAGAGTTTTCTCATAACAATTCAATGATATTTTAAGGTTCAAGACATTAGAAAAATATATATTCAAAACTTTTAATTATTTTAACAAAAACAAAATTTTATAATATGCGAAAATTTAAAACATAAAAAATGCTTTCTTTTTAAAATATAATATATATACATCCCATTCTAGCCTATTTATGTGTTTTAAATAAAACTAAAATTGTTATGTCATTTTTTTAAACTGCAAGGAAGACAATAAAAATTAGTCTTCCTTTAATTTAAAATCTACATGGTATGAATTAAACTACCAATCTGAGACGATGCAATCACGTGTTCTAACTGCAAGGATTTTTTTTCCGTAAATTTTATTGGTAGTTTTTAGGCTAAACCTTTGACCATGTTATATTTTAAAAAAAATATTTTAGTATTTTGAATTTCATAACCATTATTGAAAAACAATTATTAACTTATACAATGCTGTTAAGGGCTACTTATGAAAGTCGTGTGCTATCATTAACGCTACTTTTTAAAAATCGTATTAATTTTTAAAAAAAATGAATCACAAGATTTGGTCTTTATATTTTGACAATATTATGCGTCTTAATATTATCAAGGACTAATTCATTTTTAGGCATTTAAATATTTAATAATATATAGACTAAATTGGAATTTAAATTTAATTTCTGCAACGATTTCTTTTTCGGGGCAAAATATATGCTGCAGTTAGAGTATAGTTTAAAAGTCTGAAGATTTTTCACATAGATGACAAGGTTTAGACATTTATTATCGAAATCTCGAGGCTTGGGCAATATATTTTTGTCTAAAATATTGAATTATCGAAATCGGCTCAAATCGAGCCGTTCAACTTAAATCCTTCTGATTATTTCGAAATTATAAAATAAGAGATTATAAATTAATTTTCATATTTATAGCAAAGATCTACAAATGGAAAAATTTATAGGTCCGGGTCTGTGAGAATATAGTTAATGATCAGCCCGGCCCCAGTTTTAATTTTTTTACCAAGGTTGTCCAACCTGGGGTAAGCCCGGTTTTTAAATACAATGCCTAAACCAAAATTTATATTTTTGAATACCAAAATAAATATTTAATTATAATTTTGGTGAGTGTTTAAATTAAAAACATTATATTTTATTGATTATAACTTCTATAAAAATATCAGAATTCATCATATATATTTATATTCAAAAAAAAAAATTGGCCCAGCCCGGAAATTTTTTGCCCGACCTGGCCCGGTTCAAAATAAATTTTAAAAATGTTAGCCAGTTCGGGCATTGCTCATCTATGATAATTTATTAAATTTCGCAACTCGCAAAATAAATAGGGTGGTGGTAATTCCATTATTATTTTTTCAAATAA